CCAGATGTCAAAGAGTTTCAATATGTTGTAAAAACTAACTTTCTGATCCCGTAAAGTGGAGTTGCTCTAGAGGCATGCATGCAGTGGAAGATCCAGAAGTAGGGGTCTGCACTGGTCATGCTTCAGTGATTACCTACATATAAATCAACCAACCCCCCTTTTTTTTCTGCGTGCATCAATCTCTCCGTGTGTCTCATAAAAATGTGCAAGTGGTTTTCTAGTTGTCATCTTTTTACCTTGTTTTCATGTCAGTTTTCGTTATCATGTATTTTGAGGGAAAATGCTAATTTTGATGTACAATATGTGGATTTTGAGGATTATTATCTCTTTTTGCACAATTGACCAAAACATATTTTGAGTACTAGTCACCAACTTACCGTTTTTACCATGTTACAGATTTTAGTACAAGCCATTTTGCTAATGATAAATGCCATAAGGTGACCTATAGTAGCTGACTTCTACGCCTGAATAGTTGTCTCATTGTCAAAGATATCACACGTTCTTATTTTTACAATACAATTTAATTAGTGTATACATTTAAACATTTTCACAAAAGAAAGCAAACAAAGACTTATGGCTGACCATGTGGTATGAGCTTTGCTTATTGTTGAAGACTTGATGGTTACCAATAGCTGTTTCTGCGTCATTTGTTCTCTAAAGGAGAGTTGTTACATTGGCAATCGAACCACATCTTTTTATTTTGCTGAACACACATTCTTTTTACAGGTTGATCAATAATTTGAAAGGGTCCTCTATATGTCAATCAGTAAACTGCAGCTTCTACTAGACACATAAATTGAAATTCATTATTTGAGTAAAAAAGAGATTAAAAGGTTACAATTAAAATTTGTTTGCTAGAAAGAAAGATGTCAAATGGCTGTTGACTTTTATTCCCTATCCTTTGCATCCATGCCAAATTTAAAACAAATTGAAGAAAACACATGAGCTCAATCTGATGAAAGGGATCTGTATTATGTATCCAAGACATATATAATATTGCGCTTATTCTGTTGCACAATATACAGAAAGAAATACAAGCATGAACTATAAGCAATTTTTATTAATTAATAGACTGGTAATTTAGTCCATTATGTATCATATTGTAAATATATATATATATATATATATGAATATATAATGTTTGAATCCAAATTAACATTTGCAATTTTCATTATCTGTCACGTAATTTTTTTTATCACAGTTGTTACAAACACTTATTGTATTACATATTGAAAACTAAAATGTCAGTAGGAACAGTAAAATTTAAAAACCATCAGTCAAGATAAATCTGATAAAACTTGTTAATGAAAAGAAAAATATTTGCAACCTGTATAAAATTTAAACCACATCAACTCTTATTGATCTTTGCATAGTGTTTGAATTCTTTATTTGATAAAATGATAAAAGGCAAAATAAATTCCAGCACATATTAACAGACATATATGCAAGAACAGTACTACATCATAACCCTTCATGTACAAGCTTGGTCAAATAACAAACCAGATACTCACATGAACATGTATTTTCTCATATAATTTTTCTATAAATTTTCTTTAAAACATTTTTTTATAACAAATCATTCTCACAAGTCATTATTTAATAGTATCATTCTGAAAAAATATCTATGTTACAAATTTCGTTAATAATCATGTTAATTTTGGATAAAATTTTACCAACAAGTGTCGTAACAAGATAGAATATTCCATTTTTAATGAATTGAAATTTGCCTCCTAAATTAAGATATGAAATGTGAACAGAAGACAAGAATTGACACAAACTGATGGCAACAGCTCACAAATCCTTAAATAAGTAGTGATATTATACAATGACAGTACAAATTATAAACATGTTATAAACTATATATCAGGTAGATATAAGTTTGAGTGGTCTTTTTCAAGTCTAACAAATTACATTCACTAATATGGATCACACAACATATGTGTGGTACACAATATGATCATTCTTACTGTGGTAAAACAAAATGTCATCTTTGACTTTAAATCCTTCATACAATTAAAGAACTATAGACAACATTATAAAATTTTATAAAAAATTTTACTACTAAAATTCTATTTCCTGACATTCAGCATGGACGGATCAATCAAATTGCTAAAAAATAAGGTATGCGTAGTAGACTACAGGACCAGTCAAAATTTTCTAATCTCTTATCCAAAAATTAAGCTCACAAACAAATATTAACTTTAACATTTATGGTGCAATGTAGTATTTAAATCTTTATATTATATATATTGACCTGATTCTCCATAAGGTCAAAGATTTAGCATCCTAAGAAATAGGTTTCTTTGATAATAACAATTATTGCTAATTGATATAATAGAAGCTTGGTCACAGAAGCAAGTATGTCTGTAGATTAAAATTTCTGTTAATCTCTAGTAGCATTCACCATAATTGTTCCATTTAAATTCTACAATGTATATATATAATCAGATTCATATGGAATCTAAAACAATTTACTCTTCATTTCATATAACAAAAAAATCATACACCTTCTGAATGATAGATTTTGATGTTGTAACACGTACTACACCTGAACTATTTTTTTGAGACAAAAGTGCCCTCAGTCCATCAATACCATTTCTTTGAATTGACAAAATAAAATGCTTCTTGCACAACCCAGTTGAAGCTGTCTTTTTGGCTAATTGTTTTGACATTACTTTATTTTCAACAAGAGCTTTGAAAGATAAGTCATTTTGGCAATATTTGGGTACATTCCATCAAATGTATACTTACAGAAATGAGAAGCTAAATTTCCATGTGATCGCACCAGTTTAAATAAAGATTTACAGTCATACAAAGCATTATGTGCATCATAACTTTCCCCTAAAAAATCTGACACTAAATCACACTGCTTGTAACTTTGACGACCTGGATATTCACTCCTAAACAATATTCTTGTGTCAATGAACCCATTAAAATACAGGCAAAATTCATCCCACATCTTCAATTTATTCAATTGATTATACAGTATATGGCAGTCGAACGTTTTTATATTGTGTCCAACAAGTGTTGGTTTAGAAGGAAACTTGGACAAAAAAGCAATAAGATTAGTAAAGACTTCAAATGGTGGTGACCTTTCCACAGGAACTTCATTTGCCCATCAAAGAATGCAAGTTTTGTTATATCAGATACCTGTGGTGTTATCTTCTTTGATGGCATAACATAGGCTGAGAAAGTTTCATTCTCAGTTAAAGCTGCTATCTGTACAATATCTGACTGACGAGCTGAAATTTTTAAAATGATCTGTTAATCAAACTCAATAGATATAAGAAGATGAGGTATGAGTGAACTGTCCATCCAAGTCACAATTTATTAAAGTAAACTATTATAGATCAAAGTACGTCCTTTAATATGGACCCTTAGCTCACACCCAACTACAAGCTAATAAAATGCTCTGCTGGGGCGCAGCTTGATATGACCGCAGAGGTCGAACCCTGAAAACCAGTTGGGGCAAGTATGGACACAACATTCAAGCTTGATACAGCACTGAATTTGGATTGTAATTAAATATTTGACACAGCATAGGTTTCTGACACAGAATGAAAGTGGTCTAAGAACTTAAAAAATTTTAATTTACCTATTCAAACCATACCATTATTATTTGCTTTTATATATAAATCAGAAATAACCAATTTAAAATGGAAAATTTTAAAGAAAAAAAAGGAAAAAAAAATCCCCCCAAAATTTTTTGAACCCCCTTATGATTCATCACCCCCAAACTCAATCCCAGCCTTCCCTTTGTGGTATGGTACCTTGCAGTACAATTTCAGAGAGATCCATACACTTGAACACAAGTTATTGTCTGGAAACTAGAAAAATGCTTGTTTTTGGCCCCTTTTTGGCCCTAAATTCCTAAACGTTTAGGGCAATTACCCCCAAACTCAAACCCAGCTTTCCCTTTGTGATATTGAACCTTGCAGTACAATTTCATAAAGATCCATACACTTACACACAAGTTATTGTCCTGAAAGTAGAAAAATGCTTGTTTTTTGGCCCTTTTATGGCCCCTAATTCCTAAAATTTTGAGGGAATTACCCCTAAAATCAATCCCAGCCTTCCTTTTGTGGTATGGTACCTTTCAGTACAATTTCAGAGAGATCCATACACCTGAACACAAGTTATTGTCTGGAAACTAGAAAAATGCTTATTTTTGGCCACTTTTTGGCCCCTTATTCCTAAACATTTTGGGCAATTACCCCCAAACTCAATTCCAGCTTCGGAACATCAGGTAAATGAATTTATACTAAATTTATGAAATAAAAGGGTTAATTTTTCAAAAAATAAAATTAACCTCTGTATGTCTGTAATTGTTTTGTACATAAATCAGGTGGTTAGTTTTTTTCTGGTTTTGTCATTTTGTGGCCTTCCATACCTGACTGTGTGGCATGAGTATTGCTCATTGTCAAAGGCTATATGGTAACCTATAGTTAACCTCTTTGCCATTTAGTCTCTGGTAGAGAATTGTCTCATTTGGCAACCATACTACATCTTCTTATTTTATAATCATTATGAAAACTTCAAAACAGGAACAACTGAAAATGCCAAGGATGGTTCTGTATATATCAGAGTTTTATTGTTGTGTAATAGCAATGACTTAGGCACATTTAGTATTCATTGGGGAATCAATTAATAATTAGAATATTTTATTGTGAGAATATACCCAATACTATTACAAAAAAGAAGCATTCAATTCTTGTAATTATATTATTAAGCTACCACCCAATGAGTAATATCACGATTTTGTTCTTTTCCCATGCATCATTGTGACATTGTCATGGGAAGCACACACATTTATGAATGTTGTATTTTTTTGGAGAAAAGAAAGATATTTTGGAATTCTTTGTGATTTTTGTTAGCCAGCAAAAGTATACATTTTTAAGAAATGTAATTTCATGTAAAAATGAAGCTGTTTACACCAATAAATTTTGATTGATTATGTCTCAGATACACATAAATTTCTCTATAGGAATACATACATAAGCCTGTAGTTTCAAGATCAAATACTATAATTGGAAAGTTTTCCTCAGCTGTTATCTGTTTCCAAGTTGGAATTTCTTCTAGTTGGTCAGTTATATCATCCTCAATGTCTACAAAACAGTATTAGTTACACAGTGTGTAATTGTCCTAATACAAGAATTCATCAGGTGAATAAAATTCATATTCATTGAGGCAAAGCAAAACCCGATATGAATTTTATTCACAAAATAAATTCCATATTAGGACAATTGCACATGTGTAAAGAATTTCTCCTGATTTTGTTATATTACATATTATTATATTCATATTCAATTATTTGGACAATACCAACGAAATATATTTAGACATTTAATCTAAAATTTGAAAAATAAGTATTAGGAATTTAAAACCACTAATTTTTCTTGGTTTTTTTTCATTATGTCAATGGTATAAGGGAGATAATTCCAATTTATGTAATAGAAAATTGTACTGAAATTTATTAAACCAATATCAGGTAATCAAATTGCGAGAAATTACTCTAAATCATGATAATTATTCTTGTTATTTGATTATTGCTTTACATTTGGTTTATTGTTTTTTAGGTAATTGTGCTAATGAGGATAATAGATAAAAAAAGAGTTATTATATGTCATTTTGTAACTTGTGGAAAGTTGTCTCATTGGCAATTATAAACTGTTATATATTTGTTGCAAACGATGTTGTATTAGAATTATATTTGGCTTATAACCAGAAGCTTTGAGAAATTTGCTAGGGCTTATTTGGATTAACTGTGACATGAATGAGAAAATTTTATTTAAAATATGTTGATAGGTAAGGCATGAGTTTCTTTTCAAAGGAAAAACTGAATGTGAAACGTGAATGAATAAAAAATGACTATGGATGCAAAATGATGGTATTACCTCACCATTGCATCCAGCAAGGTGAGCTTTAAATGAAAAGTGGCATGCTCCTGTATTGTAATTGTGTCAAACATGATATTTAATAAAATGCTCCGCAGGGCGCAGCTTGATACGACCGCAGAGGTCGAACCCTGAACAGTTGGGGCAAGTGTGGACACAACATTCAAGCTTGATACAGCTTTGCATTTGGATTGTGATTAAATATTTGACACAGCATAGGTTTCTGACACAGAATGAATGTGGTCTAAGAACTTGAAAATTTTAAATTGGACATTCACCTATTATGGTCCAATTTCCAAAATCTAAATACATGGTTAGATTCAGCATATCAAAGAACCCCAAGAATTCATTTTTTTATGAAATCAAACAAAGTTTAATTTTGGACCCTTTTGACCTCAATGTGGACAAAGTTGATAACGGGGCCCAAAAATCAAAAATCTAAATACATGGTTAGATTAAGCATATCAAAGAACCCCATATATTCAATTTTTATTGAAATCAAACAAAGTTTAATTTTGGGCCCCGATTTGGACCAACTTGAAAACTGGGCCCATAATCAAAAATCTAAATACATGTTTAGATTCAGCATATCAAAGAACCCTTAGAATTCAATTTTTGTTAAACTCAAACTAAGTTTAATTTTGGACCCTTTGGACCTTAATGTAGACCAATTTGAAAACGGAACCAAAAATTAAGAATCTAAATACACGGTTAGATTCGGCATATCAAAAAACCCCAATAATTCAATTTTTGATGAAATCAAACAAAGTTTAATTTTGGACCCTTTGGACCTCAATGTGGACCAATTTAAAAACGGGGCCCAAAATCCAAAAACTAAATACATGGTTAGATTCAGCATATTAAAGAACCCCAAGAATTCAAGAATAAAACCCCATTGAAATTGGTCAAGAAATAAGCAATTTATATGAAGTATCTTCTTTTGCACAATACTGTGCAATTAAATATTTCTTGCTATTGCGCAATACTGTACAATTGACAATTTCTTGCTATTGCGCAATACTGTGCAATTGAAGATTTCTTGCTATTGTGCAATACTGTGCAATTGAAAATTTCTTGCTATTGCACAATACTTATTATATAATAATTTACACATCCTGTTTGGTGTGTATCTCCTACCATATCATTATTATTTGCTTTTAAATATAAATCAGAAATAACCAACTTAAAATGGAAAATTTTAAAAGAAAAAAAAAAAGGAAAAAAAGAAAAAAAAGGAAAAAAAAAAAAAAATCCCCCCCCAAATTTTTTGAACCCCCTTATGATTCATCACCCCCAAACTCAATCCCAGCCTTCCCTTTGTGGTATGGTACCTTGCAGTACAATTTCAGAGAGATCCATACACTTGAACACAAGTTATTGTCTGGAAACTAGAAAAATGTGTTTTTTGGCCCCAAATTCCTAAACATTTAGGGCAATTACACCCCAAACTCAATTCCAGCTTTCCTTTTGTGATATGGAACCTTGTAGTACAATTTCAGAAAGATCCATACACTTACACACAAGTTATTGTCATGAAACTAGAAAAATGCTTGTTTTTTGCCCCTTTTTTGGCCCCTAATTCCTAAAATTTTGAGGCAATTACCCCCAAAATCAATCCCAGCATTCCTTTTGTGATATGGAACCTTGTGGTACAATGTCAGAGAGATCCATACACTAACACACAAGTTATGTCTGGAAGTTACAACAAAATGCTTCGCTGAGGCGCAGCTTGATACGACCGCAGAGGTCGAACCCTGAACAGTTGGGGCAAGTATGGACACAACATTCAAGCTTGATACAGCTCTGAATTTGGATTGTTATTAAATATTTGACACAGCATAGGTTTCTGACACAGAAAAAATATGGTCTAAGAACTTGAATTTTTTTAATTTACCTATTATGGTCCAATGTCCAAAATCAAAATACATGGTTAGATTCAGCATATCAAAGAACCCCATATATTCAATTTTTGTTTAAATCAAACAAAGTTTAATTTTGGACCCAAACTTGGACAAACTTGAAAACTGGGCCCATAATCAAAAATCTAAACACATGTTTAGATTCAGCATATCAAATAACCCCAATAATTCAATTTTTGCTAAAATCAAACTAAGGTTAATTTTGGACCCTTTGGACCTTAATGTAGACCAATTTAAAAAACAGGACCTAAAATTAAAAATCTAAATACACGGTTAGATTTGGAATATCAAAGAACCCCAATAATTCAATTTTAGATGAAATCAAACAAAGTTTAATTTTGGACCCATTTGACCTCAATATGAACCAATTTGATAACGGGGTCCACAAATAAAAAATCTAAATACATGGTTAAATTCAGCATATCAAGGAACCCCATATATTCAATTTCTGTTGAAATCAAACAAAGTTTAATTTTGGACCCCAATTTGGACCAACTTGAAAAACTGGGCCAAAAATCAAAAATCTAAATACATGTTTAAATTCAGCATATCAAAGAACCTCATATATTCAATTTTTGCTAAAATCAAACAAAGTTTAATTTTGGACCCTTTGGACCTTAATGTAGACCAATTTGAAAACTGGACCCAAAATTAAAAATCTAAATACACTGTTGGATTCGGCATAACAAATAAATAAATGTGATCAAAGATTTTACAAATCTAATGCGCCATACTGTGCAATTAAAGATTTCTTCTTCAAATTTTTCAATATTTGAAATTTAAAAAAAATAATATTTGAAGAATAATTTTTTTAATTTCTGAAATCTGAAATGAGAAAAATTGACCCCCCACAATTATTTTTTTATCCCCCCCCCCCTTTTTTCTCCCAAAAAATTCTTTTCCTCAAGATATGGTCATAATCTCAATTCAAATTTCCAAGGGAGTTGGCAACCATAATTACCCATTTAAATTTACCATAGTGCTAACTTAATCTATTTTATAATAGAATTAAAAATATAGTGTCAAATCTTTCATATGGATTTTTTTGTAAAAAAACAAGATGCAACATTTGCAGATATTTTTACTGGTCTTCCTTTATAAATATGCATTTCTTTAAACATAATTTAAAAGCAGTGTAAGGGAAGTAACCAAAACGTTGTATTTGGATTACCTCCCTTACACTGTTTTAAATTATCTTTATTGTTCATTAACCATTACTTTATACATAATTTAAAAGCAGTGTAAGGGAGATAATTTCAATGATGTATTTGATTTATCTCCCTTACACTGCTTTAAATTATGTTTTGTACTAAAGTATTTGTCCATTAACCAGGACAACCTTGTTTTTCCCCCTTTTTTGCCCCTAATTCCTAAACGGTTTGAGCCATAACCCCCCAAAGCAAATCCTAACCATCCCTTTGTGGTATGGAAACTTGTAGTATAATTTCAGAGAGATCCATACACCATTCCACAGTTATTGTCTGGAAACTAGAAAATGCTTATTTTTGGCCCCGTTTTGGCCCCTAATTCCTTAACTGTTGGTACCATAACCCCCAAAATCAATCCCAACCTTCCTTTTGTGGTATTTAACCTTATGGTCAAATTTCAAAAAGATCCATTTACTTAAACTAAAGTTAGAGTGCGAAAACCAATGTGTCTTCGGACGACGACGCCGGACGACGACGACGCCAACATCATACCAATATACGACCACAAAATTTTTTTGCGGTCGTCTAAAAATGCTTATTTTTGGCCCCCTTTTTGGCCCCTTATTCCTTTACTGTTGGTACCATAACCCCCAAAATCAACCTTGTGGTGAAATTTCATAGAGATCCATTCACTTAAACTAAAGTTAGAGTGCGAAAACCAATGTGTCTTCTGACGACGCAGGACGACGCCGGACAACAACGACAGCGACGACGACGACGCCAACGTCATACCAATATACGACCAAAAAAAATTGTTTGCGGTCGTATAAAAACAGAAAGAAGATGCATGTACCAATATTGGTTTCATAAGTTGTTCCCTCTAGAACTTCTGCTATACCATTGCTGTTACATTTCTCCGACTTTAGCTCAATTCTTCTCCTTTTATATTTCCTCGTCTTCTGTAATTTACTGTACTTTCTTCTGATCTTATCCATGAAGGTAGCACGCTTTATGGTAAAATTGCCTGATGAGAGCCCCATTGATTCATGAACCTGTTAAAATGCATGTCAGAAAAAATATTTAATAATTACAACAGTATACATGTGCCATTCTCAACTTTAATCTTAATATTGTACACACTCACTGACTGAAATGTTATGACTAAAATTTGAAGACGATATATGTCTCTGTTTGTATACCTTGCCGACTCTACATAAATATTATTAGAATATTATAATATTGAGGATTCATTTATTTTGATGGGTAGGAAATTTCATGAATTTCTGAAACCTTGTGTTTACCATGTTTATGTGAATGTGATGTTGTGGTTCTGTCAAAGTCTGGATACAACTTTAGAAAAATTAAATAAAGAATTACAGATGTTGTTCTAAATAGTTCATTTAATTACCTCATGCACATATCTGTGGCCTTCATTTTTCTGTGCCACTGTTGCACTAAACCTGTAACTCAGACTGTTAGATGCAGAATAATGTTTATATTTAGGTGCTTTTGTTGCTAACATTTGGTTGAGATTTTCATTTGTTTGAGTGCTAGCAAGATTTGCAAGTTTTTCTGCTTGAATTGATAATTTTTTAATAAAAATTCTATCCAGTTCCTTCCTCAGCTCTGGATTTTGAAGTGGTTTGCCGTATGGTCACTTACTAAATTTTGCCAAAGGGTGTTCAAGGAAGACACACCACTTGGTATTACAGAAGCTATGGTCACCAAAAATATGTCCTACCATTGCTTTCAAGCCAGTTGTTACACCTTCTGTGTTTTTTTTATTTTGCGCAACCATGTATGAAAAATTCTGCATGATGTAATTGATGACCCTTTGTGACAATTCTTTGTAATTCTTTTTTATTGCATATAACTGTTTTGATATGTTTTTCTTGATATGGTTTTTGTCCGATCTTTTCTTAAGTTTTATTTTAAGAACGTTTTGTGCTCTTTGAAAACCTGTAGTGTCATCATCACCAGCAATTTCTTTAATATCGACACCCTTATTTATTACATCTTTTATCATATCAACCACTAAAGCTGGCTCCATGCCTTTAGATGAGCCTGTATGGTTTTTGCTGCATTTGTGCTCTTTTGGAACTATACCTTTTCTTTTGGCAACATCACAAGTCCTGCAATTTTTTGATTTTATTTTTACATTCAATACCTAAAACATGCATAACATATCAAAAGATTTAATGTTGTTAGTATAGAAACATGATATATTTTGTGCATGTTATCAATAGGATAATAACAAGCATTCTGTGAGCATTTCCTGGCAATACATAGTCCCCTAACAGATTAAAATTACATTGTACTAGAACAAAATGTTAACCAGAACTATAACTTGTCATTGTGTAAACTATATAACAAATATCAAGTCATTGTATTCAAAACAGATTAACAAAAAAATTTTGAACATTTATTATCTGAGTGAATTTTTTTATGTCCAAGGACCATAACTCTGCACAAAATAATCAGCCTGGAACTTAATTCGAACTTGATATTTAACTTGTCATGATAAAACTATATACCAATTTTCAAATAAATATCTTCAAGCAAGAAGAAAAGATGAGGAAAACTGATTAAGTGAGTGAATTTCCTAAGTACAAGGACCATAACTCTCTACAAAATCATTAGACCAAACCAAAACTGAACTTGATCTGTAACTTGTCATGATAAGACTATATACCAATCATCAAATTACTATCTCAAAGCATGACTAAAAATTTGTGTAAAACTTATTATTTGAGTTGAACATCAATTGATACTTCAAAATAATATTCTTCAATTTTTTAAACATAACAAATACTAATTTATATAGTGTTAATTGTGTTACTATACCAGACAAACTATTATAGGATTTCCCGGAGCCTTTTTTTTTGCCAACAGTATCAGTGGAAACTGCAATCCCTTTGTTTTCTCCATTGTCATCAGAATCTATTGATAAAATAAAAAAAACATGTATACAAAAAATCCGGCTTTTGTAGAGAGTACAAATAAATTTTATATTTCAGACAATGTAAATATATATTTGTATTTTTATCAATCTGATGAGTTAAGTCTTTTTCAACTGATTTTTATACCTCGTTCTTATATTGTACTGTTACACCACTTGTTCTTATATTGTTATGTTATACCACTGTCACTGTCCCAGGTTAGGGGAGGGTTGGGATCCCGCTAACATGTTAAAACCCGCCACATTCTGTATGTATGTGCCTGTCCCATATTAGGAGCCTTACATTCAGTGGTTGTTGTTTGTTAAGGTGTTAAATTTTTGTTTTTCGTTCATTTTTTTGTACATAAATTAGGCTGTTAATTTTCTTCAGAGGCGGATTAAGAGGGGGGCTAAGGGGGCCTGGGCCCCCTTTTTCTGGTAAAAATTGTTTGATTATATAGGGAATTACTGAGGGGGGCTTAGGGGGCCTGGGCCCCCTTTTTCTGGTAAAAAATTGGTTGATTTTATAGGGAATCACTGATTCATGAATGAAGTGGGCCCCCTTTTATGTCGTCAGTGGGCCCCACTTATGAAAATTTCTAGATCTGCCACTGTTCTTGTTTGAATTGTTTTACATTGTCATTTCAAGGCCTTTCTTAGCTGATAATGTGGTATGGGCTTTGCTCATTGTTAAAGGCCATATTGTGACCTATTATTTCTGTGTCATTTGGTCTCTTGAGGAGAGTTGTCTCATTGGCAATTATAATATATCTTTTTTTTTATATTGTTTTTAATCTGCAATTTACACCTGGCACTTTTGTAAAGAGGACCCCAAAATAATATGTGTATATTGACGGTAAGGGTCAAAAGTTAATATTTGATGCTGATTGGCCTCCTACCCACTACTTAGATGACATGATATAGTTTAAGAATTTCTGGACAGTTTGTAAAACTCGATAATTACCATGAATAACGAGCAAAAAAACATGCCTAAGTTACAACAAACCATGAGTATTTTCCTGTAAATTAGACTCCATATTTAGATATTTTATCATGGATTCTTCAGCATATGAATCCAATGCTGCCCCAACTTCTTCTTCTCTCGTCTTTAACCCAGATACGCTCAAATAGTGAAGATTCACCGAAGCCAACAGATTACTAAGTTGGGTCTCACCAAGGCCTACGTGAAGCATTCCTGTTGAAAATGAAATTATTGCATTGATTTGTATTATACATGTTAAAAATGAATTAAAGTACAAACTTCCTTAGTACCAGCAATAAATATTTGATTTAAAGATCACTGATAATGCTTCTTCTGATGACAAAAAAGTAGTATAACTTGTGTATATACATGAAGTGTATTGCAAACAAATGTATAAAAAAGTATAAGGTGTGTGTATAGACTTAGTGTAAAGTACATGTAAGTTAATACATGTATATAATAAATTATAATTTGTGTATGTTAAGTACATGTATATAGTGTATTTAGTAGGTTTATATTTAAAAAATAGTTTAACTTGTGAGTAAAGTGTACAAGTAATTTAACATGTTTAATATTAATTTATTTTCAATACAAATCTTATTAATAGATATATATATTTAAACACCTATGCTGATCTTACTAAAATTTGTAATTTCAAACCCATATATGTTTCATTCAATATGTCTGTGTTTTAAAATTTTAAATATAGGAAAAAGAAAAAGTATAATGAAATTAACACAAATCTGGAAGACCTCTGACATCAGTACATGAAATAGCTGTAATTATGCATGGTTATTGTTTATTATATTATTTATACTTTATCAAATTTATCAAACAATTTTTGCCACACATGGAGCCATTCCAATTTTATAAAGTGTTTATAGGAGCTGCTTAATAACAAAGAATTACAAACAGTTGACATAAATAAACAAGCTGATTGTAATTAACAATTTAGTAAGCAGTCCTTAATTAAGTAGACAGCACTTCTGTATCTACAAAATATTTTACATTATTTAATCTTTGACACTAGTTTAAATATATCATGTACTGATCTCAAAAAATGCTTACCAATGAAAATAAAACAATCAACAGTCTTCTCTGAAATGTCCATGCAAAACATATTGTACATCATTCTCTTCAGGTTTCCATCAGTTCAATTTAAAATTACAGATTAAACAAATGGTAAACTATTCTCTTCAGATTCCACCATTTGACACGGAAACCAGCATGGCAAGGAAGGAAAATCAACTGATTTACTAGTTTCTTTCACAATGCACAGTCCTAGCTGTTAGGGGAATTGAGCACTCACGAACTCATTAACCCATCAGCATTCTTAATGTGCTTGTCCCAAGTCAGGAGACTGTACAATCAAGTTCAGTGGTTGTTGTTGGTTCATGTCTGTCATATAGGTTTTTCATCAATTTCTTGGTTTTAAATTAGTCTGTCTATAGTCTTCATAATTGAATTGTCTTATATTTTTCATGTCAGGTATTAAATAGCTGACTATGCCATGACATCAATTTTTCTCCTTGTTGAAGGTATTATGGTTGCCTTTAATTGCTTACATCCACTTTATTTATGTTGTTTTTATTGTACATGCATGACATGTACATGTGGATGCATCATTTTAATCAGTTCACCAAAATCAATTTCTGATATCCCTTTCCTTTTTGGCTGTCAATGTCATACATGTATATAACAGTACTGCAAGTTAAGGCCTTTAAAACAGATTTATGTCAAACACAATTTACAATGGGGTAACTGTTTAAGCCAAATTTCTCCATGACCCACCAAGAAAAGGGTTACATGTATATGCATGTTAATATTTTTCTATCTTCAAATCATGACTGAATTAAACCTGAAGAAAAAAAATCATTTATTGATCACATATATAACAAAAATGAAAAAGTAACACAAAAATACAGTTATAATTTTTCAGAGTGCCATTCATGTACCTGTTGCAATTTTGGTGTTTACATCAAAAACTCCTGGACCCCTTTTGCTCGGTGTTGTAAAATGACGCTTTGACAGTGGGATTTTCTTAACTCGAATACATTGCTTACATTCTATGTAAAGCCATCCTCCTAACCCTCTTGGTAAAACACCTAATGAATCCTTCAGATGAAGGGGTTTCATACAATTTGAACATGACTCAAGGCCTTGAATAATCAGATCAATTTCAATAATAAATCTACAAAAATTTAAAGGAACTAGGTTGTCTGGTAGTATATCAGTTCTATCATATATAAGTTCATCTTCTTCATCACTTCTGCCTCCGGCGATATTTGATACAGGTTTTATAACATTTAAATTGTCACTAACAGTAACACAATAATCGTGTTCCTCTCTTATTCCAGATGCCAAATTTGAATTACTCTGACTTTTCTGATGTCTGATTTTCATAAACGACGCAGATTTGCTTATTAATTTGTTTGTCGAAAATTTACCCTTTTTAAATTTTAAAAATACCATTTCAAATCGTTGCAGTGTTGATATTTACATTTTCCGGTTGATCGACGCTGAAGAATTTCGAGTTTCCGGTAGAAAGTCGTAAATATAAAATGCGTTGGAAAAGGATCTTTATAAAATAATGATTAAGTTTTTGATCATTTATTAATAAATAAATTACCTCTTTACTAGTGAAAAACCATATTTTCATAAATCAATCCCCAAATAATATTTCAACATCTGACAGTCTTCGGATCGTAGTTGCGCAAGTTTTATGCGCGGTGGTATTCAAATGACTTACCTTAACATATTCAAGCATTGTATAAAATCTTTACAAATGCTAGTATCCAGTTTTGTGTTGTTGGACAATTTTCAACAATGTTTATTAATCGCTCTTTTTCTTGGGATAACCTATGTTTCATGTAATGGAAAAAAACGAGACTGCCAGCTGATGTTGTGATAATATATATGTGCCCCTTGCAATTAAGGGGGACGGCTACATTAGACTGATCACAATTAGATTATCTATCATTTAAACAAAAACGTCCGACATCGTTGGTAAGCACACTATGCTTATGTTTAATGTAGGAAAAAACAATCCTTTGCCACGGGAGTTATGATGAATAATTTGAATGTCAAACAAAACGATATATATCAGGAAAAACCGCACCTCACATATGAATGGAAAAAAAAAAACAACAACACAAGGAACTGATATAGTGACTCGATTCAGTGTGTTGTTTTAGATCTTTTATGTTCTATATCAACATACGTATTTGAGCCTGGTCATTATTAATATTTCTCTGGTTTGGTTTAGCTCTACATATAACTGTTTTCATTCGCTGAAGTGTCCAAGGTAGACTTATCGCTCATCTGTCGTACATTATAATAATAAACCTTTTTTCTTATCCATTTAACTCATTCCTATTTGTTGTTTTAGTTTGCATATGTAACAAAAGGATCATTTCATTGCATTTTGCATATCGTAATTGGTTTTCCATTTTTTCACATCTGATAAATATGTAGACCTTAGACTCAAGTCGGTGAATCGATAGTAGCAAATAAAAATAACCGAAGTAACGATATTAAATGTCACTTACTTAATTTGAATTCTACTAACAAAATAATATGTGTACTTACAGGTGATACGTATCACTAGGGAGGTCTGGAATATGGCCCACATATTTCGAATAACAGTTAACGTTAAAGCCTGATAAATCGCTAGAACAAGAGCAAGTCGACGGGCAAGTTCCTTTTACTAGTCCAGTTCTGATCACCGCAAAAAAGAGGCAAAAAGTTACTTCCACGTTCATTGTAATTATGTTACATCGCTGAAAATAAATAGTTCGCATCATGAACACATTTTACCTAGATATAAAATAAAGTAAAACAAGCATGACCTACATTATTCCTTTCCTCAAAACTAGACCTGGATCCAAAATGAAACGCAAATTCGCTTAACATTTCAATTGAATAACTTTCATCATTTAACGAATTGTATACGATTTATTTGGTTTCCTTTCTTATATAAATATGATTTATTAAAGTTTATTTGATACTGCAAATAAGTGTAAAGGAAACATTTGGTGATAACGCATGGTGTCGCTCATGTAATTGGAAGAACTAATAGTTTTTTTTTTTATTCCTACAAAATCTTCAAAACTAAGATTATGACTATGGGTTTGCAAAATCTTATTTATTTGACAGAATGTAGGCACAAGAATACAAAGGGGCAATGACAATTTAAAAGTTAACATAAACTTACAGTCTACGAAACACCTACATTTGTACATAGAATACCTATAACTAAACGACTCTCACTAACAAACTGGATAATCTCGATATCCTTGCATATAAGATAAGAGATTTATATTTGTGAAATGACTTATTAAGTGAGAATAACTACTTAAACATATTTTGTAACCAAGGACTGAAGGGTTTAATTAACCTGAAATTCACGTTACTCGCAATTTGTTAAAAAATAAGTACAGGATGTTTGTCGTAATTTTTCGTTCATGTTAAAAACTGCCTTATTACACTGTTGTTCTATTCTTCCCATTTAGACCAGTGCTATTGCATTTAGCTTTTGTTGTCATGATATCGTCATTCAAACAAATAACTCTCCAAGTTGTCAAAGCTAATAATATGATTTGTAAATGTAACTTGCAATAGTATTTTATTGTTATGACAATTCAAGATTCAAATAAATCTCCATTAATACATGTTAATACTTAAGTCACATAAAAAAGAGCATAACTGATAGGTTATCAACTGTTTCGGTGCTTTATGAGTTAATGGCCACTTAATACAGGTTTCCTATTTAAACTTTAACGTGCCTTTTAACGGGAATGCGCGAATTATTTTCGTTATTTGTGACAAGTAATACTAAACTACATTTTTTGAGCTATACAATGTTTCATTTGGACCGGCAGCGCAGTAGCTGCTTTTTGAAACAATGATCAATATTGCTTAAACAGTTGCGCTATTATTTTGGAATGAAAATCATATTTTTTATAAGGTCAACATGAATCTTCGGGAGAAAAATGCAGGAACTAACTTCATTTTTGAAAATTTAGCGATGTGCGTGATAGTGAACTGACAATCAGATGAAGGTGAATGACTGAAAGAATGTTCGGGGAAATAATATAAATTTTAGTACACAAAGTTAAAAACAATAACAGCTGTAACAGATCCCTATATTCGAAATAAAAAGTGGCAAATATTCTACCTTGATTTCGAAAATACTTTTCTATCATGTATAGCTAACTAAAATAGATAAGTAGATTTTCATCCAGATTTAAAAAAAAAAAAGGGGGGCGGGTAGGAGGATTTAATTTTTTAATTTTTATTTCCTAAACCCTTTTGTGACGTGTTGTTCCTACAAAAGGGTAATAATAAGCTTATATCATCATGACCATGTATATACATGTATAAGGAATTCTACATTATTCATATGCAACACAAATATTATGAGTACAGAGTGAAATGAAAACTCAAACTGTGTTTAAAATACTGTTGTTGATGCTTTGAAGATTATTATGCAGTGTGCAAATTAGCTGCAGAACCGTAGCACTTAGGTCCTTATGATATTTTTGACTATTTGCGGGTCTATGGTCTGGAAAAAGTCAAAAAATATCATAAGGAACTAAGAGCTACGGTTTAAATAAGTAACCTGTATTAAGCGGCCATTAGCTCATAAAGCACAGTAGCTGTAACAGATCCCTATATCCGGAGCTAGGTGCAAATATAATTACATTACACTACAATGTAAAACATGAACTGAACCAAAAAGAAGATGTTGTATAATGACTCTATTAAGGGGCTGTGGACAGAGGATGCTTGCTGTTTGTCAACAAATTGACAGCCTTGGGGGTAAATCAAAGGGCTTGCTATAATACATTTTGTACGTTTGCCGACTCTTTGTCCTCACTATACGGTCATTAATCGCACAAGTTCGTGCTTGTGTCAATTACTTTATTCCAGTCATGTTTTTGTACTAATGTGTTCCATGATTTATGCGCTTTGGATATCATTCACAGTACAAATTTCCGACACAAAGTCATTGAACAAATAAAAAAATCAATGGTTTTATAATCACTGAAATTTGTGACATACCGCGATTAGCGTTCTTGGACACCGCGTATTCTACATCTATTACTCGTAACCCGAATATTTTATGCCCTTCTAGTAATCAATCTATATTCTCAGAAGAAAATGTTGTCATCATTGAGCAGCAGAATATGTCGACTTAATCATTTTGGTTATATTACTCGAAGAAATTCGAAAACCGAAATTTGAATTTGAAGAAAGTTTTGAATGAATCGAAATTATCTGCGGTTATCGGTAACGTAAATGAACACAATCCAGAAATCGCAAACTTTTTAAAATAAAAAAAAATCGGGGCGGGACGATTTCAGAGGGGAGGGCGGGGATGAAAATTTATCAATTAATTTTGATTGGCCTAACTTATCATGTTTAGTTTCAATTGTCTATTTCCATCATTCATAATTGTAAATATTCCCTTCAGCGAAAAATAATTACAACAATCTTCATTCAAGCGTTTGAAAAATTAAATACTACCAAACTAAATGTTTAGATATGATAATCATGTAGTGATAGATATTTTCAAATTGCTTATTAAACTCGTCATATTTCAGAAAAAACCATCAAACATCCTTTTTAACCAATTTACATGAAACTATAATATTAGGTATATCAATAGTACACGTCGTTTGACCTAACATGAATTATTACATATATAGAATTTATTCTAATCGGCCTGTATACTCATTTTTAAATGTTACTGTTAGTTACACTTTTTTATCGACAAATCCTTTATACTGTCAATCACGTTAATCGTACAAATCATGTGGACATATGAGTATACACGTGTATACCCAAAAATGAATCTGTGAGTAACATTCAACTTTAACATGTATGTTATGCTTTGTCTGTACATAATTTTGAACATATTTAGATATTTTAATCTTGTTTCAAAGATATGCTTGTTGATTTTACGTTTCTTGCAATTAATGTAAAATAACACCATCATTTCGACTTGCAATCAATTTGAGACCGCTTTTTTATATTAAGGGGATACGATACAGTTCTGATCCCACGTTTCAAGCTATTTTTCACTTGGTTAATTCAAATATGTAATAAAAAATATAGTTTCATGTGCTAATTTTGCAGATAAATGGCGAAGAAAATTTAGCCATTTACTTAAAATTTCGGTTTCTTGGACATTTGTATCCTTTGGACAGACACACTTAACTTTTGTTTCAAAAGATAAACGCATGCAAATTTGTAACATGATTCGAAAATCATCTTTACAAAAGAATGGTCTTAATTTTCGTTAATTTGTTTTTGAAAATATTTTTTTTTTTTTTAAATTCGAAAATTTTAGCATGTTTAGTCAAAAACGTCATGTCTTGCTGCATATTTATCTAATTTAAAAAAAAAATCATAGGCGATTTTTTCTTGAAATTTGGAAAAAATAATCCAGTCATTTTTCATTTTAAAAAAGAGGGGTCTATGTACTTGTTTTCAAGCTAATGATAAAAATTCCTCGAAAAATGCAGCTTTTCCTGTTATGTCGCAGTTTAACGTCGCGAAAAATAACATATTACGTTAGCAACGTCATTA